TGGTGTTTTATTGAATGTATTTTGATTCATTGTATGTCTTTTATTGCGTTTTTTTTTCAAACCATTAATAGACCCTTTCGCTCGTCGCCGAGTGAAGAGCAAAAGCAATCAAAAATCAGGAACTAGCAGCGCGCCACCTAGTGGCAGTTCACAGTACCGGCCGCTAGATGGGGCGCTACTGGTTTCTGGCTTTTTGATTACTTTTGCTCTTCACTCGGCGACGAGCGAAAGGGTCCATTATGCTCTCTATGTGTATTCTGTAATTATGTGCACAGTGTACCTTTCATTGTTCTGTCGATTTACGTCGCGCGTTTTGTAAAGTTGTTTGTAAATTCGGTCAATACAAATAGCATGTGATCTGATAAGCACAGCCTCCTTCCATTTTACTACCCCATCCAGGGCGTAAACCGCCAGGCACCTACAGGGCGGGCGGGGCGCGGCGCACGGCGCCAGGGCCGAGCGCGGCCTAGTGCCCGCGGGAAACCTATGCGAATAGCCATAGCAGTGCGCGGAGCGACTGCAGCGGGGATCGGGTGAACCAAAGGCGCTGCGACGACGCCGCACTAAGGCCATACAAGGGTCGCGTAGCAGCCCATGCAGGGATGACGCGACGCCAAGGGCGCTACGACGACGCCGCACCAAACCTTATACGGGCAAATACCTCAAGGCGCCCGGGCACCGGGCCACGGGTAGGCCGCGACGCAGCCCCGCGCAGGCACGGCTGCAACCGACGCGCGAAGTCGCCAGGGCTGACGAGGGCGACGCGGCATCGAAATGACAGCCGCTAGACGCGTGCACCAGCGCCGTGCTGAACCCTAGCACGGCGGGCCAGGCACCAGCGCAGCGCGTTAGCGTGGCGGGTTGGAGAGATTCTGCAACGCGCGGAGCTGCCGCGGAACCGCTAGTGCGGCATCGGCGGTACGCCTCGGATCCGCCGGGCGGAAGGCCTGCGGACTGCCGCCAGCGCCTGCGGCACCACACGGCTGCCCGAGTGCCTGACGCGGCGCGGCGGAGCGCAGCGCGGGAGGACACGCCGCAGCGCTCCCGCCCCACAGCTGCAATTGACTCACTCGGGGGGGCGCAGCGGCTACGCGGAGCGGAGGCCCCGGGGCACGGCCACGCGGCGCGGTGCGCGCGGGGGCGGCGGGGCGGACGCGCTCTCGGGCCGCTCGCAGACATCGGGGCGGCCCCCCGGGTCGTAGAATGCGCTGCCCGAGTGCAAGTGACTCATTTGCACTTCTATAGAAGTTAGCGCGGCGGAATCCGCATGCGCCCGGCGGGAAACCCTGGCGGACCGCGGCGGAACAAATATTCTACCCGGGGGCGTTGCAGGTCTACTTGTTGTTGGCCTACCTGACAGGCGCTAGGGTCCCCTGACCTTAGAAAAGCAACCCGGAAACTTGCTTTGAGCCGAAAACACCTAAGAGAGCGCCCAGTGTGGTATCGAGTTCGGCCGTCACCACAATTAGGGGAAATACGTGGTTGCAGGGTTCACGAAAATGATTCGTTCTCGGGAACGAAGCCGAACACTTTTTTTGGTTAACATTTTCGTTTAGGGAAGGGTTTAAGTTTTTATTAACCCCGATTGGTCAAAATGGGTTTGAGGATCTAGGAAATGGCGCTAATTTGAAAACTTCACAAAAGTTTTAAACTTATAAAAATTTTTTGGACTTTAAAAATTAAAAGAAAAAAAAGATTCACTTTTTCATCCTCTTTCCAAGTCTGGTCTCGGATTTGACCTACGACCAAGGGTTTGCTGAGATATTGCCCTCCAAAGTTGCGTTGTTCCGATATTCAGCAAAAAAGTAAATTGGCCATACCCCGCCCCTGGGGGGCCGGACCCCAAACCAAGTACCGATTATTTCATGGGACCATAGGGGTAACAAACCCTGAAAACGAGAACCGGATCGGAGCCCATGGTGGCTAAGGCCTGGTTGACTTCACATGGAATGTCCCACTGGTGGGTTCCTGCGACGCAAAGACACCATTTAGTAATTCGGGTACGGTGACGTCAGGATGGCCGTATCAAACCCTGAGGGAAATTTTTGCATTTTGTAAAAACCGAAAAAAAATGGTTATTTTGTAATTTTCTCACCATCGGTCCCCTTCTGACCCTAGGGTCCCGGTGGTCTTAAACTGATAAAGCATGATCAGACGTTTCCATTTCCGTCTCGGAAACATCATTTTGACATCAGGTTCAGTTTCTATGGCTGTTTTCAGAAAAAACCGTAAAAGTCGAATTTTCGAATTTTCAACGTCAATGCGCGAGGGTCAAGCTTTAAGTTACAGACCTGGCTCGATCGCGTTGAGTTTGTATTGCCATGAAGTAACTTTGGCGCGCCATTACGTTAGCGATATCGAAAAATCGTGTTTCACGGCCCACCCTAGTGTCCACCCAGTGATGGCCACTTTTGGCGCACAGCTGCGTCTTTGACCCCTTTATTAAGAGGATATGGTACACCTCCCCAGAAGCGGCATTTCCAGGGGCGCGCAGGGACCTCTTTCTAACGCCGTCCTGGCCCACCGTTCGAGGTATCGATATGAAACTTGGCACCGGGCTCAGAAGGGGTCAATCTCAATGACGGAGCGTTCAAAAATTTTTTTTAACGCCTAAGTTAGGCCCCAGGGCAGTCCAGTTTTTGGTCCAACTTTCGTTCACAACACGTCCTAAGAAAATGGGAATACCGAAAAAAGGGGGATGGTACGTTCTAGATTGACATTTGCTCTTTCCCGTGATGATATCCCCGTTCCTGTGCGAAAAATTTGAGGCCAAAACCCGGTAACCGCAGACCTCTGCACGGTGATTTTTTTCATCTCGCAGAGTTTTGAAAAAGGGACTGTCGTAGACGGGCTATGCTGATCCCCCCCTGCCCCCCCCTGCCCCTCCTGGCTGCCTGCATGCAGCCCTCTGCTTTGTTTTGCGCCGGGCCCCCGCCGGCCCCCCGCCCCCCCCTCATTCACGCGCCGGAGCCGATGAGTCGAAGGGTCGGCAGCGTGACAGGCCGATTTATGGGCCCCAGACCCCGGGAGTTAAATTTTTGAAAGGATTATTTTAGAGTTTTAGGATTTGGCGAATGGGGTCCAGCGCACGATTGTGGTTTCAGGCAACTCAAAAATAAAGTTCTACGACCATTTTTACCTTAGCTCTCCAGTACTAGCCCCGCCACCGGACTTGATTACGTTCGGGACAGCCTAGGTCAAAATAGTCGCAAGAACTTGAATCTTTAGTCGCCTGACACCGCAATGGCCCGTTGAATCCATCTGAGCAAGTTTCACAACTCCAAAATGAACCGCTGAAAAATTTAACTATTTAGGCACGGGGCCATAAATTGACCTGTCACGGTGCCGATCCTTGGGCGAGGGTGGCGGGCCAGGCTGTGCCCAGGCAGTCCCTATTCAGTGAAACAAAGTCGGCGACAACATGTGCGGGGTCTGGGGCCGGTACAGCTCGTCGACAGATACATTGCACTTCCTCTCTTTGACCGGCTCCGGAATCGCCGAAAGTCGCCGTGCAGAGGTCTGCGGTCTACCGGGTTTTGACCTCTAATTTTGAACGCACAGGAAAGGGGATAACATCTCCGGAAAGAGTAAATGTCAATCTAGAACGTACCATCGCCCTTTTTTCGATTTTCCCATTTTCTCAGGATGTGTTGTGAACGAAAGTTGGACCAGAACTGAACTGCCCTGGGGCCTAACTTAGGCGTTCAAAAATTTTTTTGAACTCACCGTCATTGAGATTGATCCCTTCTGAGCCCGTGTGCCAAGTTCCATATCGATACCTCGAACGGTGTGGCCAGGACGGCGTTAGAAAGAGGTCCCTGCGCGTCCCTGGAAATGCCGCTTCTGGGGAGGTGTACCATATCCTCTTAAGTCTCTCGCACGTCGTACCGGTATTAAAGTTTAAGGAACATGCAAGAAGTTTAAAAAAATGGCAAAATTAAATTTATTCTTTGTGAAACTGTAGCTAAAATACCAGCACAGTTTGCCCAGTGGTGGCCACCTCACCTCTTGCCTAGTGATGGGCAGTGCCTTGCCAAGTGATGGCCGCACTAGGGTTTGAGAAGGGAACAGCACCATATTTTCGTTCAGGAGGGGGGGGGGAGGGTAGGGTAGGGGGAGTGAGACGCCAGGTCCAAAACAAAATGTTGCCGGCAATAAACTAGACGGACATGCACCGCGAAAGTCCGCTTCAAACCACTAGTATGGCCACTACTGGCCGGGCACAGTTTTGCCTGCCCAGTAGTGGCCACCACCTCTTGTCCCTTAAATAGAACGATATTTCTAAAAGTTTTACATGCCATGGCTTCACTGAGATTCCAAACGCTCTGAACATCGCACGTATCGTACCATGCGTGAGACATCGCACCATACGTGCAATGCCTTAGTCATATTGCACCTTACGTGCAATGCGTGCCAAAAATGCCCTATGCATGGGAAGGCATTGCACTTCACGTGCGATGCAAAAGTATTGCACCAGTTGGCGCAATGAAAACGTGTTCTAACGCATTGCACCAATTGACGCTATACACATTAAATGTTTATGTACTTTTGTTGTCCATAACTATGGCCATATTTGTGCATATAGAAGCTATGTACAATTTAATAGTAAATAAATCATGAACAATATTTTCATATTGTGCGTAAGCATTTTTAAAATTATACCTAATTTTATGTCAAAATTTGTACATAACTTCCGTATGCACAGATACGGTCATAGTAATGAACCCAAAGTCCATAAGCATTTAGTGTACTCATAGTTTTTGGATTCTCAGTGTAACTTGCCCTCTCTTAATAATTCTACTGGCGTGATGTCTCTGTCACACGGACTGCGTATACAGAACTGACAAGCGGCGCTATCACTGCGCTAAGCCGGACTGGCAAGAAAACCATCGCTCTGTCGACCGAAAACGCAGCGTTGGGCGTGCTGCGTCCGTACGGCCGTCCAAGACGACACTGACGAGCTGAAATTTTTTCGGCGTTGCCTTGCTTATAGGTGACAGTACAAAACCCCAAAAGTTCAATTGTTGAACTTCTCCCGGCTGAATGGAAAGTCAGCGCAAAGTGTGAAGTGGCCGTCACTGGTACCATCATGGACATCACTGGGCACCTTACCCTATTTGACTTTTACAAGAAAAAAAAAGTCGCAAGAGCACATTTTTGACCATGGTCTTGGTCGACCTCAGACGATCAAAATTTTTGGTTATCCTTATCTATCCTTGGGGCACATATGGTTAAATTTTGGCTCGGAAAGCTGACATGAAAATTGATTTTGTGCCCCCTAGTTATGGAATCACTCTGATCTATCACTTCCTGGACGCAGATCACAGTTAAATTTTGCTTGACAGTGTTTTGTGCATTTTTCTCAGGGTCACACTAGATAATGACGATGTGTTTAAGTGGAGAGCAGTGCTGGAGGGCCCTTCTGACACTCCTTACGAAAATGGAAAATTTCATGTAACATTAACAATGTCAGAAAATTACCCTTTCACACCCCCAAAGGTAAGGAAGCAGCATGTTGTTAGGTCATTGTGGAGGTTAAATGGATATACATGGTATGTTCGTTTTATTTCCAGGTGGAATTTAAAACCAGGATCTTCCACTGTAATATAAACACCAATGGGCACGTGTGCCTCAACATTCTCAAACCCCGCCATGAGAAGGATGGAGCTTGGAAGGAGGCCCTTGGAGTTGAACAGGTGCTCTTATCAATTCGTGCACTTCTGTGTGAGCCTAATCCAGGTAAGAAATTTGTGTTAAGCTGAATTGCCATCTGTCGCGTGGGAAGTTACCCCTAGATGGAACCAAAAAATATTTTTTCCGAAATTTGATGATGGCCATGCTGATTGTAGCGTCATTTTGTAAGGAAAGATTTTGGGTATTTTTATTTACTTTGATCAGGCAACGGGAAAAGGTCCCCAAAAGCTCTGAAGTTTTCATATTTCATTAACAAAGAAGTTTTTCAAATTCCATAAAAAAAAACCGAGCATCGATTTTAACGTGAACTGGATACAAAAGCGCTTGTGGTAAATTCACTCTCTGCGTTAACAACTTTTTTACTCTCAAAATTTATTCTTACCAAAATATTTATGGTACAATTCAGATTTGAATAAATAGAAAGGCCTCCCAAAGGAAAACTAGCCTCTAACTTCTTTGTAGACGCACTAAAAATCTCACCTTATTCTTTCTTTTCGCAGATGACCCATTGATGGCCTCAGTTGCATCTCTGTTCATATTCAACAAGCCAGAGCACGACAGAAGGGCCAGGCTCTGGACTCAAAGATTTGCTATGTAGCACGTTCCACGTTCACCTAGTAATAGATGTGTTTATGGTTTCTCAAATTCACATTGTCTACAAAGAAAACTTTATGATTTCTACCTATACCGACATTAATGTATCTGACATTTTTCAATTATTTCTAAATTGATATTAAAGTGCATGATAAGTTACTAATGTTTCCTCATTTACGAAGATGATGGAACAGCATTTTAAAGAAAATGTCTTCAATTAGTTTTTCACAGTACTACATTGGTTCCACATCTAAGGAGCACAAGATATTTTTTATATCAGCGATCCAGACCGAAATTGTACCATTTGTGACCCTTGGGTAGAGGAAGATGACCACAGACTTTGAAGGTCCTACGTCGACCTAACCTAGTGTGAGAGGAACGCAGAGCGGCGGAACGTGTTCCCCTCAACAAGATGGACAGAAAATGTTTAGCATGTTGTAGGTTCAGGCTTAATTTTCAGAAATTATCGGCGTCAAAAGAGGGAAAACGATGCATTTTATACCTGTTTCGGAGCCTAGCGCGGCCAAGGACTTTAAGTGACCTAATGAGCTCAGGATGACGTGTGCGATGCACGGCACGCCCGCATCGGGCTCGGGTTGGGGCCACGTGGGGACTCTGTCATAGCACATTTTGCCCTTGGCCACTTGGCAGACAGACAGGCTGGCAGGTGGACAGCCGGACAACCCGCCTCGGGAGCGGGCATCCCAGTTACCCTGCGTCGCCAAACGCGCCAGGTCGCCAGGTCGCCGCCGCTGGGCCAAGTTCGCACGCTGCGTGGGCGTGGGCCGGCCGGCCTGCCCCTGCTGCCCTGCTACTTCCTTTGGTGTGAGGCTAAATGAAATGAATTCTGTTGCAGTGCCATGGATGCTGGGCAGGGCGCCGCTGGCTCAGAAGACGGCGAAGAAGCCGCCGGCCCCGTGGGTGAAAATGTCCAGTTCCCGTCTCCGCCGCGTTAAACTGAATGGCCACTGCGGCCTTTGCTTGACGGTGGACTGTTTTTTCTGTTGCAGTTCATGTGGGTTTGTCAGGAGATGGGATGTGACAAACTATTGCTACGGGACCGGTACAGAAAGGATCATGAAAAGAGTGAGTATCGACCAGACAAGAGGCAATGCAATTGGGCTGAAGCGGTAATGTTTTTTAGCAGATGATACGTTCACGTATCAGCGTGCTTGTACTCTCGTGCAGAGAGTACCGAGTTTCCGGCTAGCCAGGCAGCAGTTGCCTCGTTGCCTGACTAGCAAGCCTAGAAGAGGCCGAGCGCCTCGCTGGCAAGGCAGCGGCTGGCTGGCCTGCCTAGAAGATTATGAGCGGAGGGCCCGCAGCGTGCCGCGCCGCGCCGCGCTCGCGCCGCTCAATGAATCGGGGCGCCTGCGGAGGCTCGGGTTGCGCGCGCGGCATGTTTAACACAAAACAATGGCACGTTAGGATATTCAAAAGTTATACTAAAATTGACATTTTCATGAATTACCATGCGTGAGAAATTTGTCAAAAAAAGGGTTCCGAGTGTTTACTCTTTGAAAGAAATTGACAAAATGTCACATTCATACATTTCAATAAACATCCCCATAAGTATCGTCTGCTTTCACGTTAGCGTTAGCGTTAACGTTTTTTTAATGTCTAACTCGTTTTTCAGACACACGACACAAAATGGAATGGCAACGGGTTGCGGAAGATGTTTATGCGAAGCACAAGGAGAGGTACGGCGGGCGGGGTAAGCAAACTTTCTTCTTAACGTTCAGCAATGCATTTGGCTTCAATATTTTGTTTCTATAGTGACCTCTAATTATGGTTTTCCCCTTTGTTCGCAGCCAAGGTAAGCTGGGAGAGCTGCGGCAGGGCGGGAGGCAGGAAGAGGAGGGGCAGGAAGAGGAGAGACAGCAAGAGCACCTCGCCTCGCGTTGCTGGCCGCGGCAGTGCGCGCGGTGGACGTCGTTTGGCTCATCGCTCCTTGGCATTGACCTAGCTGCCACGCCGCCGTCTCGCACGCAGAACATTTACTTAACCGACGAAATAGGCTCTCATAGTTGATGATTAATTAACTGGAATAACTTAATCTAGATAAAATACAAAGTAGATGTGTGGAGAGAGAGTCTGCCGAAGGCAGACCAGCGCCGCAGGCCAAGGTAGGTGTTAACGCCAGGCGTGGATTGTCGGAACTGACGCAGCATCGCGAAGCCTGTTACGACAAGCCACTGTCTGGCGTACACCTACCTTGTAAATTAACGGCGTTGACAGGACATTTTTTGTAGAGTGGCCGGTACTCCTGAACGGCTCGGCCGATCAGGCTGAGATTTTGCAGGCTCATTACTACCAAAATTGCTGTATCCTCCTTGTACTTGCATTGTCATCATCCAAAATTGCTGTATCTTTCTTGCACTTGTATTGCTGTTATCAGAATTGCTATTATCATAAGCTGCTGTATCTTTCCTGTACTTGTATTGCTATCTTGCCTAGTTATCCCATCGGTTGTCATTGTTTAAATTCAAGTTGTTCCTTATCTCATGCATCAACTTTTCCTCTCTCACACAAAGTAATTTTGCCGTTTAATCCATCAACATCGGGCGCAGTGGCGGCATGTTCCCCACTCGCAACAGTGCTGCCATCTACAGGTGATTCAAAAGGAGTAAAACAGGAAACGGTCATGGGGCGACTAACACGAGAATGCTTCCCAGCGTGTTTCCGGCTTCGTGTCTTGTACTAAATTGTTCTGAGGATTCTGTTATCCTTCGTACGTGCTGAATTCTTTCAACCGTCTAACTTCTAAATCAATCTCCTTAATCCTAAAGTCGACATGAAGTAAGTGTAGGGGAAGGCGTCACTGAAGGTTCTCATGATTACGTAACCAATTCGCGATCCATCCGAAATGATCGTCTTTCTGTTCGAGCGCACCTTAGCTTCGTCTTCAGTGAACATTGTGTCTTATTAAACGATCAGGAACTGGTTACCTGCGAAAATCACCACGATTATACTAGCTGGTGTCTCATTATTAGTTCCTGTTGAGTTCTTGTGCGCAACTTAGTTATTCGCGGTGGTTCCCCCTGTGTTTCTAGCTCTTAACCTCCAAACATTGTGTTTCAGTGCTCATGAAAATCCGGCCCAGCAGGAAGACCAAGATCTCGCTGCCAATTTTAATCAGTTGGGTAAGTTTTTTTCATTGATCTGTTTCAAGTGTTTTATTGTGATTTCTTTCCGTTTCTTTCTCTTAAACCTTTTAAAACTATAACTGATTCCCTCCTCTCACACACTATGCGATAGATCTAAGATGCCTAAACTATTCTGTTGAAAGGTTGCTCCCAACTCATACTTAACTCTCACTATTTGGATCTCATTGAGCATCTAGTCTGTGAAGTTTGACCAAACTCTCTCCTTTTCTGCAGCAATCGCAGCACCTGGAATGGCGCCTGAAAATCGACAAGATGTCGCTGTGGTGCCTGTTGAGGAAGTCCCAGCTCCACAAGCTGCTCAAGTGGCGGGTGAAATCAATCACAGTGCACGTAAGTATAATAGTGTGTTCATGTTGCTTATGACTTTGGATGTATTACTTTAATATTTCTGTTCATCTACAGGAATGCTGTGTGCACTTTGTCATCATAAAATGAATTCAACTGCATTCTACGCTGCTACCACATGTTCTGTACCACATGTGTGAACCGCATTATTGAAATTATGATGGTACCAAGATGCCAACAGAAATTTTCTTCTTGGGGAGTCGTCTTAACCGGAGGAGGTTCCTAATATAACTTGCTTATATCTTTGATCAGGGATGTGCAGTTAGGGTGTTAGGTTTATTTTCGGGTTTAAAATCTAAAAATGCTTGGCCCCAACTTTAATCTCTTCCAAATTACTTAAAACTGCATTTTACGCGCCTTATGCACTTTTGTTGCATGTACCACATGTGTGAACCGCATTATTGAAATTATGATGGTACCAAGATGCCAACAGAAATTTTCTTCTTGGGGAGTCGTCTTAACCGGAGGAGGTTCCTAATATAACTTGCTTATATCTTTGATCAGGGATGTGCAGTTAGGGTGTTAGGGTGGCTAGGGGCCTTTTCTGGTTTAAAATCTCATCCTTGGCAGCCTAATCTAAATTAATCTCTTCCAAATTACTTCAAAGCAGCACTTTTTAGGGAACCTTATGCAGTCAGTTTAGTTGCAGGCTGTCACCTTGATATTGTCTCCTTTATGTTGTCATCTTGATAGTCTGCAAGTGAACTGGCTGATTTTTTAAAAATATTTTTTTTTTTTTAAGTCTTTAACTCTTGAACTACTTACGATCACGAACTGCTGTTAAATTTCAAAGTCCTGCTCGCTAACCTTAGGGTGGGGGGTCCGTAAGTGAAGGTAATTCACTTCCCCTAGAGCAGGCATTCGGGCTCTTGCTCCGGGGTGGGGCCTGGAGGAAGCCAAGGGTTAACACCCCTTGGTGATCTGTTACCCTACCAGTGGCCTCCAGGCGCCTCACACTAACGCCACCCAGAGTCGATGGAGAAGAGTAACCATTCAATAGTCAAACCCCTAGCCAAACAATTTAAGTCTCCGGACACGTTAGTTTTCTTCTTCCTACACTGGTAGCCAACGAATGTGACATCACATTCGTTTGAACGTGAAAACTACGATGTCAGATTAAACGTGACAAACAGAGAAAATTCATACTCAAATGAATGTGACACGCCGCACCGCTTTGTCACATTACTTCGGGTGTGACACGAAATCAGCAGGCAAACTGTCACATTAAAACGAATGTGACACATGGTACCCATTGACATACATCGTGTCACATCCAAACGAATGTGACACCCATATGCTGTCACGTTCGTTTGAATGTGACATGCCCTAATTGTCACATTCAAACGAACGTGACACGCCCCGGACACGCCATAAGTGTCAGGTTATGGCGTGTCACGTTCAATTGAATGTGACAATTCGGGCATGTCACATTCAAACGAACGTGACAGCATATGGGTGTCACATTCGTTTGGATGTGACACGATGTATGTCA